CTCTCTCTCTCTCTCTCTCTCTCTCTCTCTCTCTCTCTCTCTCTCAACCTCTCCGTTCTTTTTCATTTGATAGCGAACAAAATACACGGTAGGCCTTATACACAAATATACAGAACAAATTATTAACGGTACATACATTTTAAATGAATAGACTGCCTCGCATGCAGTGCTAAAGAAAATAAAGACACCAGCAACAATAAAAGGAACAAAACAGGACGGAGCAGAAAAAAAGTATAACAATAACATCACCTTCTCCGCAAAGAACCCCCCCCCCTCCCCCACCCACCCAATTTCCCCCAACCATCAGTACACTGGAAGCTGTCGTTGCCTTCATATAATACCAGTTCAGTTTGACAACAACTGAGTAATCTCTGTCATCCGTTTCTTCCACCTTTACTTCTTCTATTTCGCTTACTTAACCCTATCCGTAGGCCCTGGGGTCATTTTGTACCCCCGGGGTTGTATTCTTCACATTTTAGAATAGATCCACTTCTAGTATTAAGATCTCTTTGAAACTTTCAGTATTTCTCAAAAAATCATTTTTTGCTATGCAAAGCGTACAGGTCGGATAAAACGAGTAAATTTACCCTAAACTTTGGAAAGTGATGGCACAGAGTTCCCCACGTCATATGGATACGATAGTAAAACATGACGTACTGATAGGGTTAAAAAATATTCTCCTCTACAGAGACGTATTTGTCATTGTCAGACATTGTGAAATACGAACTGCATGCGATATTAGTAGGCCTATTAGTCACCATTTGCCGTTTCTGTTCTCGGGTTGATGTCAGTACCTTTAAACTAGCATCTGTGGTGTAACAGTTAGGTACCGGACTTCGTTGTCACACATTGGAGGCCTGAGTTTGATTCCGGAGTGAGGAGAATTTTTATAGAGTGTTTCAGTCTATCTGCCTGAATGTTGTATCCCTCTCAGCCCGAGGTTGGCCCTGATAGTCAGGGTTGAAATTCGCCTTATGATCTAAATTGTGTCGACGGGGGTGATAAAAAAAACATGCCACGTCAATACCAAAAAAAAATAGTAAATAATTTTTTTAACAACAGTTCTTTTAAGTAATTTAAGATAGTAATCTTGGTTTGCCATCTTTTTCTGAGAATCTTTCTTCTTAGAACCCTAATGGGAGTACCCTGTCCAAGGTCTCACTGTGCTCAAAACGCATGATTGGTACATATTCATTTTGAAATGTAATGTAATAATATTCATCTAAAAACATATCTCATTTAATGCCATCTTGATAGTTAGTCTTTCTTTAATTTTAATTCATTGCAATCTTGTGTTCATAATGTGATGTGATTGTTATCAATGACCTTATGCAGTGGTGAGCCCCGTAAAACACTTTCCCCAAAAAAATTATTGTTTTGATTGTGCTGTGATAGTATTATTGTCAGCTTAATTTAGTTTTAGTAAGAGTTCTACGGCACTTGCAACACAATAAGGTCATATAAGTGATTAGAGGTATTACAAGAGAGAAACAAACACAAAAAAGAAGGAGGAGAGGTCAGGACGACAGATGTAGGACAGTTTGTTTTTGTAAGTGTTTTACGGCGCTCGCAATTGCATAAGGTCATATGAGCGCGCGGGACACATTAAACTTTCTCAGTTGGTAGGAAATTTTGAATTTTGCCAGGGTGGCGGCCGAAGCCTACTCTTACCGATTTTAGACCACCAAGGGATCTTTAACGTGCGCAACTTGCACGGGCCCTCCGAGATTTTTCGCCCTTGTCTGAGAAGGCTAGGTGTAGATCTTTTCCTATCAGAAGATCAGGGGTGTGGCTGAAAGACAGCAGTAAGAAGGAGCCAAGGAGTAGCAGTAGAAAGACTGTAGAAAGAATCAGGAGCCCAGAGGAGGGGGGGGGGGAAAGGAGATGGGGAGTGGGGGCAGAAAGAGGGGACGAAAGCAGACGACAGAACATTGCTAGAGAGCAGGAAAGGAGGTGAAAGGAGACAAATTTAGAGAAGAACATTTTTCGGTTACTACCCGGTTTCGAACCTGGGACCTTTGATTGAGAGGTCAACACCTTAACCTCTACGCCACATAAGCCCCCGGATGTTGGACAGGAAAGAAGGATCAAACCACACCAGAGCACCTGCCAACCACCCACCATGTCTGCTTATGTGCTAGGATTATTCTAAAGAAGAGCTTATTTTATTATGCACTTCCATTTACTTGCATTTTTATGGTAAGATGAAGGTATTGTAAAGCGCCTTGAGCTGCATTGTATGGGAGTGGGACCTATAGAAATCATTTACATTATTATCATTATTATAATAAAAAAAGGCAAACATAGCAGTCCACACTCTTCATCTTAGCTACTATGACACTGTTTATTAATAACACAGACAAAAAAACAATGTAAGTATTGCAAACACATAAAAGTCTCCGATGAGAGTACCATGAAAAAGTCTCAAAATATTCATTGAAAAAAGACATAAAGTAAAAAAAAAGTATTGGTTAACATTATTGGCTCACATTAACAACCCCCCCGCCCCAGGAACTTGATTATCTGCATTGTAGAACTGACAGAGCCACAAATCCAGTGTTGAGTATGTTAAGGATTTAATTACACTATGTTGAAACACACTAGAGTGGGCCCAGCACAGAGTGTTATTTCCAATATCATACGATAAATTCTATTTTCATAAAAATATCAAAGCGCCTTCTGCACTGATATTGTTAATGATTAAAAATGCACAGAAACTAAACTTTAGTTAACAATTTGTAATGCTGAGTATAAAAGTCTCTTACCATCGGAGAAAACCTGAGCCAACAGAGCATAACTAAAGAATCCTCGAGTCATAAATAAATACAGTCCAATAAAGACTTCTTAAAAAGATACAATAGTGATGACTCTAAAATAATTAAGGACAAAATTAGCCAGAAACAAAAAGCAACATATAAGATTATAGTAATAGTCACAAACGACAAAGTTTTTCTGCATAAGTGAAATCAAAAGGACAACAAACACACACACTGCAAACTCTCTTTTCACAAACAAAAAAATCTGATTTTAGAAATACTTATAACCATGACTAAATCAAAACTAAGGGCACTACAGCTACTGGATAATAATATGCAACTCACTTCTCGGTTACTATAAAAAAAAATGTAGTCAAAACTGAAAATTCTATTCAAACAATAAATTAATTTTGTGTTCTATGTGAGGAATCCCTAACAGTGCGATGTGTTTTGACTCCGTCTTCTCTACTTTTATTTGCTAGACATCAGCGGTCTGTGCTTTGTCCCAAGACGGTTCATTCCACCAGTTAAGATAAGCAGAAAACAAACCGAGAAAATCTAAAATGTTAAAAGATCCTGTCAAATATGTCAAACAATCGCCTCAAACAATCCTACTTATAAACTGCTTTGTTGCACATTGATTTCTTTTCTGATATCAACGCACAAAACAACGCTGTCATCTGTACTCCTGTGACACGAAACACTTTCTCTAACATCCATCACAAATAGAAAGACTGTGTTATGTTGTCGTCAATGCACCTGACAGAGATGACAAAATGACGAAAACAAAAATATGATGAAAAATGACCACAAAAGTCATTATGAGCTCCAACACAAGCACTGAAACCCCACATCATGAAAAAATAGTGTTGTAAACATTGTCATGAACAAGTAAGTATAAGGTAAACTAGATGTATTTATTTGGAAAAGTTACATAATCTTAAAGTTACCCATTTCAAAGCACCATAAGACTAGAAAACAAACATAAACTCCAGTGTCCTCTCCTTAATTATCCTTCATAAATTACAGTTGATTGAATTTGACTTTATAAATTTTGAGACACACAAATCTGCAATCTACAATCTTATAATGCACGAAAGAAAAATAACTTATATTCATCTTTAAAAAGTACCATTTGATACTTAAAGGGAGAATATGATTTATGTAGCAAAGAATTCTGTATCTTCTTGAAGTAGCATGTCCTGTCAAATCGTTAATACTGTACATTCAAATAGAACAACAAGAGCTTATACATGGCATGCTTCTAATCAAATCACAAATATTGGTTCTGAAATAGACACCAGGAGGAAATTAATTTTCTTTCCTTTTCAGCACACACAATATCTTTTCTGTGGACCCATCAATTACTTTTGGAATTGTTCATGCTCTCAAATTGATCTCAAACTCAACATCTCATCCACAACCTATCCTATTAACACTGAGGTTATATATTTTCCAGATCAACAGCAGAACATAGCTTGGCTATTAAACCTCAGAAAATTTTCAAACCGTGCTACAGTTACTCCCTCATACAGACAGAACATTTTTTTCAAAAGCATCAGATTTTAGTACAAAGACACTTGATATGAAAATAAAGGTAAAGGGTCTGTGAACATGAAAATTATTAGCAAAGCGGGAGGCATAAAAATTATACATGTTTGATCTTGTCTGTGGAGGCTGGGAGAATACTTTTATTCGTATTTTTAAAGCACATGGGTTAACAAAGGGCATAGTGTCATCAACAGGTTGGGATGTTTCTGGAAAAACAGCCACTCGCTGTTACTGTAAGACTTTTCTCACAACAAACCTAAATCTTGCTCTACTTGATAGGAAGCTAGCTACGTATTCAGTATATATAATTATTAGCCTGATAAAGGACAAAATTCCTTGTGTCATTAAATGAGAGCTTTCCGAACTAAAGTAAGACACATTTTGGAACGGACAACTAGCAGAGTCAACTCTAGAACTCTAATTTTAATAAATTCTCAACAAGAAGTTCGTATAACTTCGGTTGTATGACTTGAGCTGTATCTGTCGAGCGACCTCCGGCTTCAAATCTGTTTATGCTAAAATCATCTCCTGGGAAATTCACTCTTTCTTGTCAGCATCAGGGTTGTCTCTCCAGATCCTGAAGGTCAGAGCGGAGGCCAGGCTGACCCAGCCAAGGTAAGGAAGCAACAAGTAAGAGGCTTTCTCATTGATGCCATGGAAGGAATAAATGGTGCCTGCGATAGCACCCCACAGGCAAATGATCTCAACAAATCCCTGAAAAGAAAAAGAGAAAAGAAAAAAAATGTTGAGTCACAGAACTGTTTCACCTACTGTTAAATATTTCAATTTTTAAATTTTCTTTAACACTGTAAAAAAAAAATAATAATAAATACAATGTAAATGTGAATAACAATGTAAATGTGAATAACAATATAAGAAAAAGAAGAAGAAAAAGAAGAATATAAAAAGGAATAGGAATAAAAATAGTAAACATTCTAATGCATTCATAAGAGCACTTGAAAAATCTTTTCTGAATTTTTATAGTCCCATTGAATACCATGTTTGTGAAGTCTACAAACTTTCTAAAATATAGCACTCCCCTATCCATAAATTCTTTTTGACTTTCTACTTTTCATTTCACGAGCACTGACACAGCCGCCTTCAGTCACTTATTCAAAAGGCAAGTCTACAAATCAAGAGGAGTATGACTTTTCAAAAGGGGAATGAATCATTGCGGCCAGTACAGTCGACTAGGGAGGAGATGATGTCGTCGAGGAAGTGAAAAATGGATCAACTCATTCGAAGTTCAACTTAACTCTTGGTACCTGTAAAGAAGAGGTGCTTGGACCCGAGAAAAAGATAAACTTAACCTAAGAGCAACCCAAGCAAGTTCAGCACAAGGGGAGTCAAAGGTATCATAACCACAGTGTATACAAGACAGGCGAAACATAATAGACAGGCTATCAAATTTAACACGGTTTTGTCCTGTAAGAATATTGTGAACACATTAATTCAACCCAAGAGAAGTATAAAGAACAAACTGGCATTCACTAATTTATCCTTTGTGGGTGAAGGAAACCAAAATATATCAGAAATATCTTGTATACAAAATATTGTTTTAAAAAACTTAATCTTTTGAAAAAATCACATTCAATGTATGGCTTTCAGAGACTAGTACTCACCGATAAAGTGAACTACACAACAACAAAAAAACAAACAAACAAGAACTTACCCATTTGGGGCTGTGAAGTCCAAAGAAAATTGGCGTCCAAGCCCAGTTCAAAGCGAGCTGAGCTCCGTACCAGGCCAGAGGCAAGGCAGCATCGCCGTCAAAACCGCCGCCATCACGCCACACCATGTAGGAGGCGTAGCCCATGCTGCAGTACAAAGTAGTCCACACTGGGCCAAACACCTTGTTTCCTGGCCGCCACGACGGCTTGTTCAAACCCTGAGTAGATTTAATCATAGCAGGTTAGGATGAGACAGCACAATCACATAATATAAGATAAGATTATAAGTCATGATAAGACAAAAAGAGATAAGATAAGACATTACAAGACATGATAAGATAAGACAAAATTAGATGGATAAGATTGAGATAAGATTAAGATAAGATAAGATAAGATAAATCTTTATTGTCCAGATCCTCGCACAATGGTTTGGTGTTCGTGTTTCACCACATACACACAGTATGTTGGAACGGGACACTACATGGGGAGGATGGGGAAGGAAGTAGAAATACATTATATGTGCAACTTAAAGAAATCTGCAGATAATCTGCGGAGGGTGTTTCCAAATTGCTGTAGATTTTGATCATTCATTGAAATTCACAATGAAAAGGGAGGGATAAAATCAAACTGAGAACACAAGAAACTCTTCTGGCACATACACAGACAATATTATTTTTTGAATAAACAAACCTTTTAAAAGTTTAAGTAACAGTTTTAAGGCACTTGCAACACGATAAGGCCATGTAAATGCAGAAAATTAGAGGTATTACAAGAGAGTAACAAACACAAAAAAGAAGGAGTGGAGATCAGGACAATAGATGTTTGATGAAAAAGGAGTAAACCACACCACAGCACCCACAAACTGTCCAAGAGAAGTGAACAAAAACTGCAGATGTGAATGAGGTTGTGGCAAGTAAGCATGATCAAATAATACAACACAGAGACAAAAACAAACATTGAGACTGCGCTATTGGTGCTTTATATAATAATATAGTGAAGTAGTAAAAATAGTACATGCCATTATTATACAAAACTTTGTATAATAAAAATTAAGAAATTTATTTTAGACAGTTCTTTGACTTACTGAGTAAACAAAGTATCTGTGGTATCCAATATAAATTTCGAGAAATATTCACAGCAATGAACATCAAATACCCAGCGCACTTTGTCCAACAAGATGCACACCCTGATTTGCCAATTCGATCAAATACTCACCTCATACCAGTTCGGGATATTTTTTCTTGTGATGAAACTTCCTGCAATTCCACCAAGATTTGGCAAAATCACAGCAAGGGTTGGAGCAAGGTAGTCAGACATCTGAGGATATGAAAACATAAAAATTAATACATCATCAACAAAACATTTTTAAAAAGCCAGAAATATCCAGTGGTTAACTGAAATTTGTATTCCATTTAAGTATTTAAGAACACTGTTCTCGAGAAAGTCAAAAAATGTCGACATAAGACAATACTTGAAGAGAAGACCACGGCAGTACAGTACAGCTTCCAACAAGTCACAATAATACGGCCAAGATAAATTTCTCCGCTCTTTTCTTGCTGATTAAACAGACAAACAAAACTGTCCTACAAGACATATTATTGCAAGGCTGGCTCAGTCCAGAGTCCACCCATTCACAAACCAGGGCTAATCAAGAATATTTGTGTGACAAACCCATACAACACCAAAATCATGGAAAGTTGTGATCCATGTCACCCAAAACAGCAACTATTTCTACAAAAGTTGATGGTCCAGATGCAAGTTGTCGATAAACTACATAAGGAACAGACATCAATCAATTGTAGAGGTCTTGGTAGGACAACAATAAGATGTGAGAAATACAATGTTAAAAAAAAAACATGTAAAAGATGATTTTTAAAAATGTTCTCAGACTTCACACTCCAGATGTATACACTGCATTGTTGAAACAAGTTTGTCCATTTTGCAATTTGAATCTAAACACAGACAGTTTTCACTTGACAAATGCTTTCCAGTGTACAATATTTTAAAACAGACAAACTGTATCTCCCAAAAAGACAAATTCATATACATGTAACGTGTACGAAAAAACAAAATGTCTAAAGCGCAGCAAAAAGCAGTCAATCAACGAATTAAAGAAAAAAAAAAAACAGTTGCAAAAAAAAAAAAGGTAATTGCTAATTGGGTGAAAAGAAAACCATAAAGAAGTTTTCAATGTTGCCATCATAGGAAGCAAAGATTACATTTTTATATGTTTTAGCTTTAGAAGTTTCATATCTCTGCTTTTCAAAAAAAAAATCAGATCTCATTCTCAATGCCTCCGTGTTTCACTTTGTCGAGCAGGTGAACACTTCGAAGTCATCAGGCTTCTTCTTTGGAGATCCCTACATTGCAAGGAGTACTTCCTTCTTGGGGCCCAGCGCAAGCTGAGAATGTCTGAAGTATGGAAGGTACAGCAAGGGACACCATGATATGAAAGGTGCACACTGTGATAATTTTTAGTGCATAAAGTAACGCCCTGGCAAGGCAAGTACTATGAATGAATGAAAGAAAGACTCTAGACTCTATGACCCAACATGACATCAGTGACCACCTAACCCCCTAGGTGGATGAACGTAAGCACTGACCAGTTCTCTCCTAGCCATCAATGAGCATTGACATTGCTTGTCTTAGTGTTACTCTAAGTTAGCCAACAAAAAGTACAAGTTTTTATCAATTGTTGTAAGTAATGAAAGAGACACTGATATATGGAAACAATTAAGACAAGATTTTATGGGCAGTTTTACAGTAGTCTTTAATTAACTTTGTAATCTGTAGTCTCATTCAGAGGTTATAATGACTCTAGAATCTTAATGATGGCTGAAAATTACTTTGACACAGATGCTTACTTTTACATATCTGGCCTACCTAAATATAAAGAGAGTATTTCAGACTGGGAGTGAGAGCAGGGAACAAATACCACTGACAAGGGAACTGAAAGTGAGAACGGGAACATTTATGTGTACGCTTCAAACTGACCCGAGAGCCTTTTTCAGGGATGAAAAATGGACAGTCAGCTGGTCTCTACACTGTTCCTTACATTATCTTTACTTTTTTAAAACATGGACTTGTATGGATGATTTGCTGCCAGGCACTGAATAATAGATTCACAGATCTGCAACAAGCACTCATCCACACCCACTTCAGGCTTTCCCGCACGCTCTTAATTAAGTATGAATATATATATATTGTTAGTGATGGCAATAAAGCATTATGGGCGAATCATGTTTTCTATAAAGCATGAATACAAAAACTGGAAAAAGACTCAGGTTTGCTACAAAGATTTCCACACAGAAAAAAATAGAAATGATGGACAATGCCTGATTTATTGGTGGGCTAGATTACAGTGCGTAGTACCCAACAGCACACAAAGGAAAAACTTGAAGGGTTGGTCACAGTTGTTCTGAACTCCACGACCCCCCGTCACTTTATCATACTTTATGTGTTCATGATGTTGTGCTTTGATTCTACACAAAATATCTTTCCATTTATTTTCAATTACGACAGTGGAATTAACTGGAACTTTCAATGTTAATATGCGTTGTGTTATTGAACTCATTTACTCGTAAGTTTAATTATCAGAAATTTGAAAAAAAATGCCATGATCATGTTGCGGGTATGCCTGTGAATCTTGTTATCACAGACAGAAGGAAAAAGTAAGTGTCTAGTTTCTATACAATAATGATAATTATTAATCTAAACAGTGGTCCCTATTTTTACCTAGATTGAACTAAAGGATGTTTACAACTCTTGGCAGGGCAGTGGCTGCTCTAATGTCTCTAAATCAAGAGGAAATGAGTAAGCTGTTTAAACTACTTCATAAAACATGAACTTACTACAACAGGGTCCATTATGCCAGCTCTGTACTCAGGAGTAGAAGAACTCTCTAAACTCTGAGACACAAATACCAACAAACCAAAGGAGCCAATTAAGAGAGAAACAGGGCCAAAAAAAAACCCCAAACAAGGCTCAGTGTGGGCTAGATCATCTAAAATTATTTCCAGCTGGTCTCATCTGGTATGCGGATCCAGCTCAACACATGTAGGATTAATGTTGAAACTGTTATCCACTTTACATTTATGTTTAACATACATCATGGAAACATTTCAAATAATATATACACCTCAGTTCTCATACCACCTGAACCCAATGGAGATTTTCCACAAGTTTTGTTTTGGCTGTCGTCTGTCCCGGCCAATGTTATGTGGCTATTGGTACATACATGGGTTTTTTTCACATGTTTTTACCTTTTTAAGACATTCATAAAGACAAATGTGTGAAGAAGTAACAAATGACTTCTCTGTGACACCTTTGCGCTTTTCTCATATATATTTATATATATATACATCACCTTTAACCTGTTACAGCAGCCCCTGTCCAACTCAGCCACAGTCAATTATTTTCACAAGAAGTAATTAAGTCTCCTGAAAAACTTGCTGCACTATTGTTGGCAGTCACTTATAGAGTTACTAAAGTCTTTAGCCAACTCGTCCCCAGACTGAGCATGGGGGCTCTCGTGGCCGAGAGGTTAATAAGGTCTTCACCTCTCCTTCAATAGGTCCTGAGTTCGAATCCGGATACCGACAGAAAATGTTCTTGTTCACTGAAATTTTCTCCTTTCACATCCTTTCCCGCTCTTTAACAATGTTCTGTTGTCTGCTTTCGTCTCCACTTTCTGCTCCCACCCCCTCACCTCCTTTGCCCCTGCCTCTAGGCTCCTGACTCTTTCTGCAGCCTTTCTACTGCTACTCCTTGGCTCCTTCTTACTGCTGTCTTTCAGCCACACCCCTGTTTTATGGCAGGAAAGATCTACACCAAGCTTTCTTGGACTAGGGCGAAAAATCTGAGGTCTTGTGGGCAAGTTGCACACGTTGAAGATCCCTTGGTGATCCAAAATCAATAAGAGTAGGCTTCACTGCAAATGTTTGGTGTGTTCCCCGCGCTCATATATATATATGACTGTATGCAGTTGCAAGCGCTGTAAAACACTCTTGATAACAAAAAATAAAATTTAAAAAAAATACTAAGCATCATGTACATTCATGGGTGATTATCATTTTCTTCTATTTCAACTGTCTTTAAATGCTTATATTTACTTAAATATTACCTGATTTTCTAATCAACTGTGTTCTGTTTTAGTAATATGTGCCTACATTTCATATATGAATCGGTTAAGTACAACAAACTCCAACCCCTCCACCCTAACAACCCCACAAAGAAAGAGACACACACACACTGGAGTGGGAGCCATGCTACACACACATAGGCCACAACCATCCATGGCCCTTTAAGTTTTCTAACTGCAGCATCAGGAGTAATGCATGGTAATCTACACCGCACTGGATGAAAACAAGAAGTACTTCATTTGAACTCTTTATCTCCGGCAAGCCGCTCCCAGCGGCTCGCGGTCGGATCTGTGTGCTGGTGAGCCGCTGGCAGCAGCTCAGGCACATTTCTTTACGACAACTTCAATTTAAAAAATTACCTATCTGTAAAATAGAGGAAAACAAGTCTCTTTTACAAGGAGATTAATCATTAGATGAATAGCTATCGAAATAAATTCGCTTGTTTTGATTTTATGTTCAGTTTAGTGACATATATATATATATATATATATATATATATATATATATATATATATATATCCATTTTAGATTTCGTACCAAAATAGGAGAAAGGTGTTTTGTGCTGAACTTTTTAAGTGACCTGTTACCTTGAAATTCAATCTACAGTGAAACTGAGCTCCCCCCCCTCCCCCCCCCCCCCGAGATCCACTTCAGTCTCAATGTCTTTTTATATTTTGTAAGCTGATATATCCCCTTTCTTTATTCACTCACTTTACTTAACCTCTAAGACCTTCGACCTCTGATCTAGGCATGTCTATCTTCGATTAAAAAACAAAACAAAGCTGAAGTTTGAAGTACGCCTGAAAGAATTATTTTAAAAATTCAGAGGTTACTACCTAAGTAAAGTACAAGTCTGGGCATATATCTTATTCTCAGACATAGCAACTTCTCTGAAGAGAGGGTCCTTTTGGTCAATAGGCTATACTTTTGGTATGCTCAAAATCTTTACGTCTACACCTCAAGAATTTCACTATTTTATCGCAAATTAGCCTTCTGAACTATTGTCTATTGTCAACACTAATATTCACAGTGCAATTCTCAAAACATCTCTCTATGCAAAATCTTCAAAGTAGTCAAAGTTCAAAGCTAGATTGTCCACCTCACTTCAGTGTGACATTGGGTGATGAAACAGAAAAAGGTCACTAAAGCCCTCAGTCACACAGTCATGGCAATGCAATTCAATGCATAGATCATAGATCTACATAGAATATATAATAGGCACAAGTTTAAAACAAAACATTATTTCCAGAAAGAATGGACATTGCAATATTAATAAAATGGTCAGTTTAATTTAGTGAATTTACATAAGAGAAAAGCCTCCAAGAAAACTTGCCATTGACCTCAGAACTTAGCCGGCAATTGCTAGATCTATTACACAACGACCTGTGACAGCGCAGCCCGTCTTTCATTGAGTGGAAACGTGTGTGGGCCAGAATTTAGAACTAGCAGGTAGCAGGCTCAAAAACAAACGTAAAGTCCAAAAGTGTTCAACCTCATGGCAAGGCCAAAACCCGTGAAGACGTGTAGCAACAAAGACACAACACAGGCAAAAATCTACAAAATTCTTACATCGAAACAGTCTTGTTCACAAGTCACAAGGCAGAGAGATTTCCCAGTTGACTGCGTGCAACTCTGGACGTTCCTCTTTTCCTCTGTGGTTGCTATTTTCAGCAGTTCAGGATGCAGAACAAGCAGAAGAAAGGACACCAAAACACAGTGTTGTGAAAGAAAATTAATGACCTTTGACCTTTGTATGCCAATTTGTTCTTTTTTTAAAGAGTAGAACAACAATATTTTGTTAGAAAACTTGATGACATAGATATATAGAAATAGTTATATATCTAAATATCTTGCAGCTGAGGGGTTTAATAGATCCTTACAAGTTGTTGCAAAATCCCGACTAGCTAATTAAAAAAGGATTGCTCCCTTGTATATGCACCTAGTTTCTGAAGAGACCAAATCAACTAGCCTAGTTTGGAGCTCTCCTGGCCAAGTCGGAAGTCGGAAGTAGGAAGTAAGATACAAGATGGCGACGTCCCCAAACACCTCCACTCTTTCTCCAAAGAAGAAAGATGAATCCATTTTGGAAAAGATTGGTACTATGGGACGCAAAAAGAAAATAAAGGAAGGTCAGTGCATGAGAAAGACTCTGCAGTACCTAGTTTCACTTTCTAGATCTACAATTAGGGGGTTTCACGCTCGCCCAGCGAGTGGGGATTTCCGCTAAATTCCCGATTTTTCCTCTTTCTTTATTAGTTCTCAGCCTAGCATCATAAAACCAACATGAAATGAGAGGTCTAGATCTATATGTGCTTTTTGTTTCCATATTAGTTTCAATAGGGGGAGAAATGAGTAACATTATGGATTTTTGAGTTAAAACTACAAGGGTCGTTACGCGTTCTGCCACAACGCCACGCGTGGCACGCAAATTTTGACAATTTTAGAGCGCAGCGCATTTCGGGCGGTTTATTCGAGCTGAATTTTCCATCGCTAACCGTTGTAGGTGACCATTGAAGTCACGTGATTTTGGAGTAGAATTGGACGCTGAAGAGTTTGCAACCCACCCGGAGTTTGTACGACGCTTGTGTAGCAATGCCCACCGAGAGCATTTTGTTCTGCCGATTTTTGGCCCCCGCAGCGGGGGTGTTTCGTGGGACGCACTAACGCAAAGGTTGTTTTCTTCAACTCGCACTCATGCCGCTTCTCGTGAATGGATATGAATGAAACTTGGCAGACAATCAGAAAAGAGGTCAATCTCGTAGTATGCAGTTTGACAACATTGTACCCATCCTAGAAGCAGTCGAAAACGTTTGCGAAAGTGGTTGATGTGGTGCGCTTTGAAGATTTTTCGGAGCTGTGATTTGTCAAACTGACTGATACGTTGTACACCATTTTTCTTTATTCCCTTAAAATTTCAAGCTTCTGTGTTTAGCATTTTTCGCGTAATCTTTAAAAATGTGGGAGTAACTAAGGGAAAAAGCGACATTGCCATTTGCGCGTACTGGGTGAACGAACTGCTGCTGGGAAATTTCCACTGAGTGACGTCATCAGCCATCGGTTGCCTCGGGCGCTACAAACGAGGCCCCGCTTATGTGAACCGGAAAGGGGGGGAAGGATACTTGAAAACTAAACGGGGGCCTTGATAACTTGCGTTTTTGTTGCATTTTAGTCACAATACAATAGATGAAGTCATTTTTATTTGCTTGATTGCATGACAGAAGACAATAGAAACAGAAAAGCAAACATCTTGAGAAGTGGTATGGCATTGTGTTTGCGTTATGAAAGCCTATTCCCCCCTCTTGGGAAAGCACACACTTGGACTCGTCCTGTGTGCTCTGTTTGGAAAAGTGAGGCATTAAGATTGTTATTAAAGAGTATGGTACTTATTTAATCCAGTCTGGGAAGATAGTCCCGTTTATACATTGTTATCGTTCACGCGTGCGTGCATGTGTGTGTGTGTGTGCGCGCGTGAGAGAGAGAGAGAGAGAGAAGGGGGGGGGGGGTGTAAATATGTTACATTTATTGTATGAGTTGTAGCCTACACATGCGAAATATTCCCATGACTTGTAAACTATATCATCTGAACGCATCTTAATCTAACACACAATAGGACACTGTCCAACAATGGATATACGCAGAGACGATCTTATTTTCTATAACAAAGTATGCATGCTTTTACTAGTACAGAACTGGATTTATTAGTAGCTCTCTACTTACATTTTTGTGACAAATTGATCCAGAACATTGCTTGGCAAGGAGGAACCTTTTATGTTGCCAAGTTTCATTCAAATATCATGACTTTGGGAGAACATATATGGCTGATAATCTTTGTAAATCTGTAAAGAACGCCACTTTTTTACCTGTTAATGTCTTTACAACTCAAAAATTATGACAGATATTAAAAATCTGACAGCATGACTAGATTCTGCATTAAAAAATGTACTAGACTGCCAAGTTTTATTTGCATATTCCAAGAAATAGGCGAGGTATGACAAATATTGTCTCGAAACACACCGAAAACCGCCACATTTTTACCTATAAACGTCTTCATAACTCAAAAAATAGGATAGTTATGAAAAATCTGAAAGCAAGACTAGATTCTTCACTAGAAAATGTACTGGGTTGCCAAGTTTCTTTTAAATACTCCGAGAAATGAGCGAGTTATGATGAATATTGTCTCAAAACTCACCAAAGAACGTCCCATATTTTGGGCTTTTTTCATTATATAAAAGTGTACTAGAAATTAATTGATTAAAAAATCTGTAACTTTTTTGTTTATTGATGGATTTCAAAAATTCAAAAAGTTCCATGCTCTATGAAGATAAAGCTACAAAATGCGCCTATTTGCAAACACTTTCTGGCTAAAAAAGGATTTTCGTGGTCATTGCTAGCTTGTGTAAAAAGTTATGGTAAAGGTAAAATATATATTTTATCTTCTAAATTCTTTTTTATTAACGATGGGAAATGCTATCGGGGCAAGTTATATTGATAGATAGATCTATATCATTTAGCTCTCTAGAAATGTCATTTTTGTTAAAAATGATTTAAGTTTTGTCGAGGAAAATCGAACCCTAGCTCACTTGGTAAGGTAAAAAAATAATTCACCTGCAGAGCCAGAAGTCAGGGGCAAGTAACTTTGGATTTTTAATGTAACTGATGTAAACAAACAACTGCCATCAAAGGTATAGCTAGTTCTGGTAGTACAAGGGTGACCAATATTATTATTAAAGGCCAAAGATACTTTTTTTTATATTTGAATACTGAATATAAGAAAGTTGAAACTAAAATGAAACTTTCAAAGTCAAAAGATAATGAAAAATATGGTGGGATTTGGTCTTCCTCCAATGTGATTAAATGAGTGAAATCGTATCAATCCAAGAAGGAAAAGGTTTATTGAAGAAAGCGCAGGTCAAGTACTAGAAAATCTTGATCAGGGGGGTCAGGTCAAAATGCGTTTTCCCAGACTCTGTGTGCATTACGCTAGCATCTGCGTTTGTCGCCGGGTGATTTTTGGCAGTTTTTGGTCCGCGAACGGAGGGCGGGATTTTTGCATAATTTTTCAAAACAGACAAAACAACAAAGCTACTTCATAACACTTGATAAGTTTTGAGATGTCCATGAGTATCTATTTTCATGCAGAGAATTAAGTACATTACACATGTTTATATTGTTATCTGTCTTTTATTTTTCCCTCTTTGTTGTGTTTTAATTTGTTGGTGAGTTAATTTTTCTAAAAATTGTTCTAATGATTCGTTTTTCTTTTTTTGCGTTTTTACAGCGTAATGCCATCTAATTTAATGCTGTTCCCACCCTTATAAAAATATAAATGTGTTATGTTAGAGCATGTCTCCTCCAAAACCGAATACTGACACTGGCACACCCGTCTGTCGGGTCGAGAGATGAGAAAATTTGATTCATCACTGAACCATACGTACCGTCAGTTCTGTAGCTTCCAGTTGACGTGCTGAGTGGCCCATTGTCGTCGCTGTTGATGATGCCGGTCCGTCAACAGTTTCCTTAAAGGTCGATATGCGCGGAGCCCTCTTTCTCGGAGTCAGTTGCGTACTGTCTGGTCGGAAATTCTGATGACATTCCGAAGCGCTTGGACCGTTGAAAAGGAAGGCACAAAACGATCCCGCAGGTGATGAAGCTGAATAAAGGGATCCTGGGCTCGAGTTGTTGCCCTTGGCCATCCGTTCTCGGTTAATCGGCAGTGGAGTTGGACTGTTGAAACCTTGCAAAAAGTCTGCTGATGGTAGACTGTGACACGTTGAAATGTGTGGCAACATCAGTTTGACTTTCTCTGGCTTGCTAACGTCCAATAGCCTGGTTTTGCTCTTCTATCGTTAGTCGTGGCGTGGCGTATCGCTGAACTGACAAACCATTTTTTTGGCCATTATAGAGCCACCCAGTGAATGAACTCATACGCTAAATTTCGTTCGACTACTCACAAAATTAGACAATTTGTGAGCTTTTTAACACTCATTTATCACACAATTCAACAGTTTAGGCTGTGCCTACCGGTGACTGTGAGTAAACAATGAATTTTGTTGTGAAAAGTTCAAGATATGAGTGAAAAAAACTAGCATGCACAAAACCTCATCTTTACATATTTTATTATCACGAAAACACATACACTTAGTTATGCTTTTCTTGTTTTTGAAGAGTATAGATAACAATTTTCTCCCCTCTTGGAAATCGACACTAGATCTCCTGCTTATGAAAGTAGAGCTACACCACAAACGCTGGTTCTCTTCCTCTGTATCCATCTGTTCTTTGGTTGTATGCTCTTTCGTTGGATGCATCACTTTTTGCCGATGTAAAGAATGTATACTTTTGCTCAAGACTGTTGGCATGTGGGAATTAGATTCAAAATCTCTGAAGTCAGGCACGAATAATTTGAATACATCGGGGGATGACAAATGTCTTCGACACAGCCATAATTCGGGTTAAGGGCTAAAGGTGATGAAAAATTGAAGAGATATCAGTCAGGAAATGGCAATTTGTACGAGCTATTCAAGATTTTCAGTTTTCAGTGTTCGTGTTTTCCGTGCCCGACTACATTCATTTTTTCGGGGTGAAATATGATTTTTTAAAAATAAAATGGATTTATTGTTGCTTTTTTTACAGTTCGTTAGATGCCCCTAGTCGTGTTGATTAAGAAAATATATAATTTTGTACACTTTTGACTTAAAACATTAATGTTATGTCACTTTTAAGTCAAAATCAGTTGCACGTTTCGTCAATGGCGGCCATATTGGCGGCCATATTTGGTCACATGACTTTGCATATTACATAATACATTGTATATCATGTAGGCAATTGCATAACCTTTCTGGAAATGTATGATTATCATATGTTCTACAGGCTACTTTTTCTTTGAAGTAAGGAAAACTGTTGCTAAGTTGTCTTTCTTCCGCCTCATTTCGCACATTTTGGTGCCATCCTCTTGTCTATATACGTAAGTAATTAATTATCCCCGAAAAATGCTCTAATTTGCAACAATAAACTTGCATAACTTTTGAACCGTTTATCCAATCTTTGAACAGTTTTTTTTGGGTTTTTCTCAGCTCCTTTAGCTCTATCCAGTGACATATATTTTGGTCAAATTAATCGTTTTAAAATTTTTTCTTGAAACCCCCTACTACAATCGTCCTCTTTTTCTTCTCTTGCCCCAACCCCTGTCCCTGTCGACGACAAATTTTGCAAGAATCTATTCTGTCGGGTGAGGCAGTGTGAGTGTCAGTGAGTGCAAGGCAAGGTAGATCTAGCACCGGCAGGTTGGCTTATATTAATAATAATAGATAGCATTTGTATTGCGCAAATCCCCGCTCAATAGCAAGCTCTATGCGCTTCACAATCTATAGCCTACTATTGCCCCAGCAGACCTGACACCTGCGGGTGATCTTGTAGTTCCGTTCGTTAACTCTTGTCCTGCGTCTGTGCTGAGATGCAAATCTTATCAGCAACCGATTACGTCGGACGTGCCGGGCAGGCCGCCGGGGTCACTCAGTGTGTACTGTTGGTGTACAGCGCACGCGCTGGGAAACGTGTGTTTTCGCCATGAATACCGTGAGAGTGTGTTAATTGATGATGAAAATAACGCTCTTTCATAGCTTTCTATTTATAAAGTGTTACAAACAAATGAATAACCCCCTCTCACAAGCTGATAAGACATTACGAGTAGTTACGCCCATTCGAATAACCTTTCTGGACGCTCTTGTTGTTATGAATGATCTGAGGTTCGAAAGGGGATAATATAGGTCAATTACCGAATGTTTTGCTCTCTAATTGTTCTTTGCACCTGCACAGTGGTATTCAAAACTATCAAACAAGCTTATTTTTTATAAGGTAGTATCATTCCATACAAAATCAAGCTCATTTGAAAGATTTTGTATAGAAAAATGGAAGTCTTGTTTCCTGACTATCCTTTTGAGCTCCTCATGTCTAAGCAGGTCAATTTCTTCTATAATTTCATTGGACGGACATCTAGAGCTACCAACTTGGCGTGTTTTGAATGAGACGTATGCCTCGATTACGAACCAACGCAGGCGGTTCTTGTAGAACGTTTGTGTTTTAACATCATTTTTTAACTTTGTTTTGGTCAATTTGATCGTCCACACCGATAGACAGTATTCCGAAAGAGACAGAGAGAGAGAGAGGGGAGGAGTAGATATTGCAAGAACTTCCAGGCAAAACAAAATGGCAACCCCCGTAGTTCTGCTCGATTCGAAAACTGAAATAGCCGTAGCATCTTTATAGACGATCAAATTAGTTTACTTTTGTGCCATAACGTCATTTTTTTCTTTGCTTTTGTCAATTTGATCATGATCCACACCGATAGGCAGTATTACGAAAGTAGGAAAAACAGGTCTTGTTTCACACCGGGTGAGAATAGCCAATGCTGGCAAGTCTCACCCAGGGTGAGAGGTCGATTGTATTTTTATTCTCACCCCGGGTGAAATAACCACTTCCTTTTATTTAGTCAGGGGGTGAAACCCCCCTACTCTTAACTCTTGGGGCCCAAACCGGCGATTAATAATTGGGGGGTGAAAACTGCCTAACCACTAGGCCACAGACACCACGATTATGATAATAAATAATTATATATAGTGAACATTGTATTGGTAATATACTAAACAAATGTGTAGTAAGGAAAAGGTTTTACCCTGACTGTACCCTACACAACCGTAACCCTTTCCCTTGTCATATTTCCTGAATCCAGGAAATCTGGATGTTCAATTGTCATTGTTGTGAGTTGATGAATCAAACGTGTTCCTCTTGCTAGATGAACTTGATCTTGTATATATGTGTATGCTGTAAACCACTTTTTAAAAATGTTACTATGATGTTTAACTGACCTTTTCCGCAAAGTTAACCATTGTTAATCTCGGCAAGCAGATACGATGTTTGTCCCAGGTAGGATCACACCAAAGTGTGTTTTTCTCTTTACATTACACTTGCTTGATTAGAGCCTGTCGCCTGAACTAACAACTCACACAAGGTGGTTAGGGCCTTCAAGGCTGCAATAGAATAGAATAGATCTCAATGAACTGTGAGCTGGTCAGTGCTTTGTTTTCCTGATCATGGTAGTTGCCTTCCACCCCTACACCCAAATTTGCGAGACACACTTGGTTTTAATTGGAGTGGTCTCAACACAATGGTGCATTATATGACGTGAGCAAGGAACTAGGTCAGAGATGGAAAGCCATAAGTTTTGGACAAATAAAAGGGTGGAGTAATGGGATGGCTGTAGATCTTGAGACTCACAATTGGATAAAAAGTGAAATTGGCATGCCTCATGCCATTGTGACTGATCATCAAGGTTACATCATTCTTTGCTCGCTTTAAGTTCTAAACCCACTCAGAGGTCACATAAACTTTTTTCAAAGTAAGGTTAGATCGTTTTACCAATAGTAGGCCTAACCATGAGTCACAGTGGATCCTCTCCCAGGTGAATCAGCTAAGGGTCCATTCGCCTAACATTCTACATTTTCCCGTGCTCTTAAGCACCGGGATCTTAGGCAGAGACTCAGGGCTCTCAGACTTCCACGGATCCGCGAATTTCCAGGGTTTGCGGTTCGGAGAAAGTCCGGGGCTGAGATCAGCGGCCGCGGAATCGCTGAGCATCGCACGCTCATGTTTCCGTCGCGCTTCGCGTCTGCACGGGTTTCATAATTATCTTTTCTCCGAGAAAAAATTCGAAAATTTGGAGAACATAATAATAGAGCGATGTATGCCAGTTTGGCTCTAACCGCCCACCTATACTTCCTGTTCATAACTACTACTTACTTTGCCTTTCCGGTTTTTATCGAAATCGGTTGACTTTCACAATTTATGCGAATACATGTATCTGGCAACATTTTCTTTTCCCAAACTCGTTTTCTTGCTCTTCCTTTTGCAATGTTTGTAGGCCTACTTGTGCACTTCGTTGCGTCTATCGCGATCCTCCGACAAAGTTCAGGGGTCGGGAAAATTTTTCACTGGGAGCCCTGAGACTGCTCTACCACTACTACTACTTCTACTTCTACTTCCACTACCTCTACTAACTACGAAACATTCAGGTTGTAATTTTAATTTGGTTTCATAAATAATATGGGATAAAATGACGTCAGGTCACTAGTGTCGAAAGAAGCAGTGAGTGTTCTAGTTATAAAACCGAAATAAAACTTGATGCCTTCAAAATGGGACTCAAAACACATCTATTTAAGAAATAATTTAATTAATGGACAATACCTTGCCTTTTTGTATGAGCATTTTTAATTGTCTGAAAGAATGTTGCTGTCAAAACGTGCGCACATGATGAATTTGTATGGTGTTAGTACGAATACGTTTTTAATCTCCTATGTACGCCTTGGGCCCATGTTGTGGGGAAAGGCGAGATACAAATGCTATTATTATTATTATTATTATTATTATTATTATTATAATGACTATTGTGTTGGCGATGACATATTTCATATGATTTGCAAACTCTGAATTTCCTTTTTACAGTTGCCGAACTTCAAGAAGAGGGGAAACATGCCATTGAATCACCAACCAGCCCAACAATAGCAGACATTGGGCCTGAAGGATACCAATTGGGTAAGCTTAGCTCATTCCATGGGATATTGTGTGTTTGTAAATGTAACTGTAGATGTGTTACATCCTTATCAACACAGTTTAGACAATTTAAAGGGCAGGTTGATTCTTGGTAAAGGCCAGCCTGATTGGAGAGAAAATCACAACATCCCAGACTCAGATAGAGGTACTCCATAAAAACCTCCCCTCACGGGTGGGAAACTCACATCATCTGCATGTGCTGCCGGTGTATATGTTTGTCATGATGGTATGTTTATGTTTATTATCCCAGCTGCTGCTGTGCACTAAATACCAAATCATGTGAGTTCGTGGGTTAATGCATGTGGCGTCTCTATGGGGTTTTTTGGGGGGGGGTTTTCATGTAAAAAATTTATTCTCATCCTCGTCGCCAGTATAAAATTCAATGACTAGCACGTCTGGTCGGGGTAGGCAGTTTAATTCTTAACAACTGGCACATACTCTGTTCACATGTTCTGCTCGGAAGAGGCACTAACCCCATGGTCTCGTGCTTATGTACTGCTCACAACACTGACAACGGTAATCACTACGAAAGGACGAAGACAACTCACGACAGTTATGAGTGGTCACTAAGGATATTGGACGGGGACAGCTGGACACTGACTTGTTGGGTTAAATCCCTTAAACATGTTTGACAGTGACAACACTACATCAGTCAGCAAGGTTTTCTGCCTGGGAATGAAAAACTCTATCCTAAGAACGTCTTTCATTAGTCTAGTATTCTTTTTTAACATGAAGAGGTGGTGTCCTCCTAAGGACACTGTCTGCTCTAGAGTCTCCTTT